CAATTAGGGCAGTTGTCACGTGATTTTGAGCATACTAAAGAAGCATTACAAAGCACGGCGAACCAGTTGAATATAAATTTGGTGAGTTACTGAAGCTGAGAGTGAGAGAGGGTCTACCGGCCATGTCCCCCAGGGTACGTTCCGGTATACCGGACCGTACCCAGGGTACGTCCCGGCAGTACCCAGGGGGACATAGACGGTAGACCCTCTCTCACTCTCAGCTTCAGTAACTCACCAAATTTATATTCAACTGGTTCGCCGTGCTTTGTAATGCTTCTTTAGTATGCTCAAAATCACGTGACAACTGCCCTAATTGTTCCTGCCCAGTTTTGCCAATGGACTCGGCAGATGAGAGTTTATTAGTTAGTTCATGAATACGCTGGTCAAGTACTATAGAACGTGACTTGGAACCATCAAGACCATGATAACAAGTTTTAATTTGCTTTTGTAACAACTCGTTCTCATTCTTTAAAACGTTTTCATACGATAAAAATTCATTGTTAGCGACAGATATTTTTCTATAATTATACACTAAAATGCATAGTACTATGAATAAGAATATATTAAGTAGAGATTGAATACGGACTTGGCGAAAACTTGATGTTTTCGACATAGACGCTGCCATATTTGATTCGTGGTGTCATAGTGAATTTGTTAACCAGGAAATAATGTAGTTCACCCACAGATGTGTGGTCCGCAGGTTTAGTCTGTGGTTCACCCGCGCGCGCACGCACGCTCGCTCTCTCGCACGCACGCACGCACGCACGCACGCACGCACATTGTCCTACAGTTTCTTCCGGCTACTTGTACTTTCAGGCCTACATTTTTAAACGTTAAATCAGGGCCGTAGCAGGGGCGTGTACAAAGGAGGGAAGGGGGTTCAGAGGGACCGGACCCCCTCCCCCCTGCTCGCGCAGAAAACGCATCTAAAGGGGTCTAATTTCAAAAAAATTCTGGGGGAGGGCCCCCCCGGAGGGCCCCCCCCTTCGCTTGCTCGCAGCTGTGGGTTACGGTTAGACCCCTCCCCCCTGGTACAAATCCTGTACACGCTCCTGCGTAGGCTGAGCAAATTCCTAGAGGAGGGGGGGGGGGCAAAATTAATGACTCAACTGTGTAGTAATGAGCGACGGGCGCAGCTCTTGATCGACGTCCATATAGTGTGATAGCGGTGGGTCTGAAACGAGGCTTTCACGAATAAGTTACCAACAAATCACGTTATTAGGACTATTTGCGAGTATTAGCTAAGCATATTTGTTAATTTTGCTCCAAAATCTAGGTGGGGCATTCCCCCCCCCCGTCGATTAAACGGTTAATTATTTACGGCCCTGTAAATTTATTACACATCTTGTTTCGTAATAATATTGAATATTTTTGGTTAGCAGCACAATTACGTGTTTCGCAACATGATTCCTGATGTGAGAATTTTATTCTGTGCGAACGTTAGCATCTGAATACAACGTCGTAGCAAAACAACGATCGATGTCACTCGCCGAGTGCGTGTCTGTAGACCGGTCATTAGGAACCCTCCCCATTATTTCGTTCATTACTTTAGCGAAATTCCTTCTATTACTACATGCGTTCATTTACAGCCGACGCGTTCTCGTATTGTTTACGCATCATCAGCGATCAAGTATCACGTTGATGTTGCTGCTACCTTTAAGACGATGCTATTCCGAAATTATATTCAGCGCGTAAAGCCAGCCTCTCCTTATTGTCACGCGACGGCTGCGCTTCACTGAAACACCTGCGCATTAACAATATGTAGCTACACATGCGTTGTTTGTACCTTATTTTCGGACGCGATTTGGCTAATTATTATCGGCGCGCGGTGGATCGATATGTTAGTTAGCGTAAGCCAATAGAAAACGACAGACGGCGAGCAGCCGAGCTTTGGCATTCCGCACTGCGCGCAGTGCGCGTTGCATTTACCCGCCGATAGACGTTACGGTAAGTGCGGTTGCAACTTACGGCTACCGTCAGCGATGGTACGGCAGGTGTGGATCGTAATGCAGGCAGCGCTGTTTGTCTCTCAGTGTGCAGGGAGGGGCGATATAGTGATTAACGACTTCCCTAAAGGTCCCGCGCCGGAGGGCGTGGTGGATCTCCACATAGCTGGCCTATTCCCGATGGAGGGAGCGTGGCCCGGTGGACAAACCCTAGTACCTGCGACGGAGTTGGCCTTATCGATGATTAACAATCGCTCGGACATTCTACCTGGATACCGACTCGTCATACATTGGATTAACGACAAGGTGCGCACTTCTCGTGTCTTTAGGTAGAATTACGTGTATAGGCCTAATTTATGCGCGATGAGCGGTTTAGTCAACAATAGCAGAAGTTGAGTTTGTATTTGAGAGATTTTAAACACTTTACTATATTATATCTGAAGACTTTAACAAATGTGTGTTTACTAGAAATGCGAAATTGCAGAAATATTGAAAATGCTGAAATAGCGTTTTGAAGAGTGTTTGGCTAGTGGGCGCAGTAGTGGAAAACACGCACGTCTACATTTCTAAGACAGATCTTCTTTAGTGTTATCATCCAACGCATTTCGTTTCAAAATCCCGCAGCAATATTAGACGACCTTTCGCATGAAGTAACATATCGCCACGTTATATTTTGGTCTGTTAGAGATGATGATTAGTTTGTTTTGATTTCGGCTTCTGTTGGCGCACGCAGTGCTGGGCCGGACTAGGCGTGCACGGACTACATGAGCTCATTTTCAATGATACAAACATAAAGGTGTTAGTGATCGGTGCTGGTTGTTCGCCTGTCAGCCAGGCAACGGCTGAAGTATCTCACTACTGGAACCTAGTGCAGGTAGGGCCTACTTCATGATAGCAACAGGAGTACATGAATAAAGATTCTCTAGAAATCTCTATTGATGTACTCCTGATAGCACTGTCATTAGCTTGTGTTAGTATTCGCTATTTTACCGAATATCGTTAAAAAGTGATTAAGGTTAAAATGCATATTATCGTATATTTTATATGATCATTATTAACTTAGTTATCCTATCTGGTACAATTCCTGGCCAGCCTGAAATTGACACCAAAAATTAGTATGGCACCAAATAAACGTCCTTTCCCTGTTGTGATCTGTAATCACCAAAATGGTAAATAGCAAGCTATAGTGTATAGTAGGCCTATAGCTATTGTGTGCTCTTTTATTTTCTGCTATTGTAGATGTATAATATACGCATATATATGACGTGTGGAAATATGATAACGTGAGAAACCCACGCTTAAATATCATAAGCGTGTGTATGAACTTTCGGAGCACATCTTCGTCAGGGTGTAATCGTAAAAAACATATTAAAGTCGTTCACGCATTTACGCGCAGATATCACCATCATCAGTGGCACCCTCCTTGTCTGACCGGAAGCGTTTTCCGCTTTTCTTTCGCACGGCCACCGCTGAGGACACAATGAATAATATCCGCATAGAGCTGATGAAACACCTCAACTGGAAACGCGTCTCAATTATGCAAGAAGCACTAGAGATTTTCACGACGGTAGACTAAATGTAGACTAAAGAAATATGATACGTAACCTATTTTAAAATCTCGTTATTCTTATTTTCTTTAACGTTGAGTTTAGAAGTCACGTTTAGATGTCTATTTATTGTTACAGCGCTCCATTTGAAAGATTCACGCGTCTGTAGTAAATACTAGATGCAATTGTGTGTTTAGGCATCAGAGCCATTTGTTCAGATGCTCGCAGAGAACAATTTCACATTGCAAATGAATTTGCTGATCCAATCAGGTGATGATCCTAGACCATCTATTGAGATCCTTCAGGTATGCGTAGCATGTTATCGTATTTTCGTATTCGATTATGTAAGTCTAATATGTAAGTCTAATATGTATAATAATAGCTAGCTAAGATTCTATGTGATGAAGTAGGCAAATATATTTCTGTAACATTACATTTTCCCCATAATTAAATCTCAGGGAATGTAGAATGACACAGACTCTCTGCTCGACATGCGGTGTACTGGTCAATTCCTTCTGTTTGTGGAAGGCTTTCATATTTTCTAGGTGACGGTGTATTTTATTGGCCAACGTAACTGACACGTTATGGCACTATGATATATTATCCTCTATGTCGTCCCTATAAGACATATTGATACTGGACATAGGAAATGCCATTGACTGTACGATATCCTATGACGATATCCCAGGGGCGTGTACAGGATTTGTACCAGGGGGGGGGGTCTAACCGTAACCCAAACTTGCGAGCACGCGAAGGGGGGGGGGTCTGGGGGGCCCTCCCCCAGAAAATTGTTGAAATTAGACCCCCTTAGATGCGTTTTCTGCGCGAGCAGGGGGGGGGGTCTGGACCCCCTGGACACGCCCCTGTATCCACTATATCTAGTATCTAGAACTATATCCAGTAGTATAGGATATATAGACTATATCCTATGTACGATATCCTATGACTATCCTGCGGCAGTTTCTGCATCAAAGAAATTCAATCGCACGTAGTAATGACAGACGCATCTGACATTATCCTAAGGCATTGTGATACTCCTTTCTGCTACAAAGTAATATATTCGCGTTGGTTACGGCTTGTGCCAAGAAGGCTTTTTGATCTAGCTGAGTAACTCGTCCAGATCTACTAACAAGTCGATCGTTTGTTTCTTGTTCCTCTTACTTACGCCGACACTTGCTTAGGAACCAGCAATTTCCGGAACGTCTGTAGGATCCTCTTATTCTGTGCTTTTATCATTCGGATATGGTTTCTAAAACAGCACCTATTCTTTACGATAATGGGGATAGGCAGATAGGAGCTCTACAGATAAGGACTGGATAGACGGCAAAATGTCTTGAGTAAATTGCCTTCCGTGGTTATAGCAGCTGATGAAAGACGGAATTATAGGCAAACAGCGATAAAAACTACCTAATCCCATCTGTTTGGCTGATTAAATATACAAAAGTACAAAACCTTGTAGTATATAGTCAGAGAATATCTATACCGTATTATTGTTTTTAATTGATAATTTTTTGATGAAAAATAAGTAACTTTAGCACTTCTCAAGCTAGATAAATATATCTAATGTCATAGAATGGCGCTTATTAATAATAGGCCTACCGTGACGAAATAATTATCTTTCGTGTAATGTCTGTTACGTTAGTATTCTTATAACATTGTTGCGGAAGGCTCTCAGTGATACAATATAAAAGGTCGCAAAGGTGTTTATGTTGACAGATATTAGATGTGCGCTAGATCGCAACAACGCCTAACATTATTTTGCCATGTGTTGAATGAACTATTATATATATATTAGAATTTTTTGCTTTCCAGAGAAACGACGTGCGCATAATATTTGGTGGATTTTATCCTGAAAGGGCGACACGGGTTTTCTGCGAGGTAATGAACTTTTTTCTTCTCACCAGCACTCGGGTAAATGGTTTATTTCTGTGAAAGATTATAACAAAAGCGAAAACACAACGTACTACCAGGGGCGTAGCCAGGATTTTAAAAGTTGTAGGCACGACTATCTGAGCGGAGCGCCACCATCGGTTGGCGCGGAGCGTACAAGAAAATTTTTGGTTTTACAAACCCCCCAGATGGCTGGAAACGGCCCTTCCCGAGTGTTCATTCTGGTTCCCTGGCCTCTTGCTAACTTGAGACACCTCATTCAATATCACTTTTAAACCCAAAAAAACAAACGAGTTAAAATAGTGTTACGAACGAGTTAAAATGTTAAAAAACTGACAAGATCGGATCCTAGTCTTTTTCGGCGGGTAGAGTGTTGAATGAAACGGCACGCGATAGAAATGACAGCCTAGATGACAGAAGAATAGGTCACCTAATTTAGCCATATTCTTGCTACGTTCATTTCAATAGTTTTTCCTGTCTAGACTCTTAAACTCGTCCAGCAAGCTTATGGATTTGAATTATGGGTGTTTAAAAAAAAAAGATAACTTGGCAAAAAAAAGTGTAGGCCCGGGCCTACAGTGCTACATACTGGCTACGCCCCTGACTACACACTGATACCTAATCCAATTTGTGTTTACAAGTCTTCGTCCACACAATTAATAACCTAATTGCTTTGAATTTTCAGCTGTGGCAAGATGTTGAACATTAACCTTTAAATTCATTACCAGCTATTATGCCGGTGGTCATTAATTATAGTTTCCTATTATTAACATAATTGTTCGACAAGAAATGCTATTCTCCATGTTGCAAGTTGTATGGAAATTTACGCGTAAGTTTGATGTCAGTGCTCAGCTCAGTAATTATGCACGCATGAGACTAACATTGTCTTTAAAATTAACTTAATATTGCATGATATATGACAATTAGCCATATACATAATGCAATTATGTATGCCGCAATTTAAAACTATTAAGGTCTTTCTATTATGACTTTCATATCTGCTCGATAATGTAAGTGCAAAATTTCGACTCTTTTAACTTTTTTGGATCGACAGCATATATTTGAACTCGATATTGGCGTATTGATAGCTTATAGCAACTTAATATTAATTAATTAATTGTGTTTTAATATTAAAGTGATTACGTCACCGTAAATAGTTTTAAAAAATCCTACTTTTTCACAAAATATAAGTAATTCTGTTCACTTTTTATGGTTAAATTGCTGCATTATACTTCTTATTTTAGGCCCCTACTATTATTGTTCGATTTGAACATACTCTCGTGACGCATACATAGCCCATAGCAAGCAATTAATGTTATGAACACTAATATCAAATCGTCCAAGTTTTTTTAGATTTTTAACTAGTTTAGAAACAATCTTATCAGGTAAGAATTTGACGATACGTTTAGTCCCGTTAGTTTATACTTTTAATGTACAAAAAATGACAACAAAAATTTTACAAATTTTACCATAGAAAATTCGTGACGTAGTCAATTTAAAATTACTTTTAATTTTTTATTTAAGCGCTAGCTGTAGTCTAACATTTTTATGAGAAATTGTTCATAAACATGTAGATATAATATTTGAATGCAAATTCCTAACTTTGAAAATTGACCTAAACTCATGATTAAAGCGTCTATATCACCATTGTCGTTCTATATAGCGACAAGGTGCGTTTTACCTGGCAATTTAGAATAGGATGTTTTTTAACGGATAGTTGCTCACATACACTTGCTCCGTAATTCCGAGTACAAAAACTTGACGAAAGTTTTTTTTATGGAATTTACAGCGCATATATCTGAACTGTAACGGTGCGTTATTCTGTTGGGGTGGGGGTCAGGCATACAAGCTAGGGTTTTACGGTCCTAAGATCCAGTGGATTTTGGTCGGCTGGTACGACGACAACTGGTGGGACTACCAGGACCCATCGCTGTACAACTGCACGCTTGAGCAGGTGTTTATCGCCATGGACGGTTACCTAGCAACGGGCGCCGTCTTCTTTAACCCGTTGGATGAGGTCAGTATCGCCGGCATCACATCGCGACAGTACAGGCAGATGTTCAGCGACTACACTAACGGACGTATCCTACCGGGCATTAGGTTTGTGAAAGTAAACGCAGCGATTATTTTATACGCATATGTCCGCGTAGGCAAAAAATAAGTAAGGATAATGTTGCGCCGTAGATCGACACGTTGGGCGTTCGATTGCATTTGGGGCGGCTGCTTTTCCCCCTTGCTTAGCTCCCGTTGAGCATTGTGTTCAGCACCTGCCTTGCTTTAGTTTCCGCAACATGTTCTGTCCAGCAAAGCTACGTACTCGCCTTTATGCGGGTGAGGATAAGTTAGCCTCGCACCAACTTAACCCATTACTATCACTATTATTGAGAATCGTACCCACCCCACCTTTCAGCCCCAAATCTGTTTGTATACGTACATCTGCGCAGACATGATTAATGCCATTATAATTAAGGTCATCATTAATATTTTCGATCCGCAGATTCGCAGGTTGGGCGTTCGACTGCATTTGGGCAGCTGCATTGAGCCTAAACAAAACTGATGGGATGCTGGCGTCGTTAGGCAAGTAGGCCCTAGTCTATGTAAGATTTACGGTATAAAAGTAGGCCTATATTACTTCTACCAAGATCAGTCCATTCGCAGTGCGGTGGATTACAATATACATGTCTTGCAGTTAAACAACATTTTGACATAATAGAATGGCGTTATATGTAGTGAGTGTGTAAAAGTAGCTTACTGGACAGAAATGCGAATTTAGACACATTTTTATTTTAAAGGGCAAAAGATGCGACATTTTTACCACTTGGACGAAGCTACAACGAACATGATATTCGATAATATGGCCAACATAGACTTCACAGGAACAATGGGAAGAGTGAGGTTTGACAAAAGTGGAAGTGCTCTTGGTTTACAGAAAATAGCCCAATTTCAAGGTAAACTGTTAAAGTTAAATAAACTAGATCCGGTATCTTTGTGCGTAACAAGATGTGCTATTTCATACAAAAGGAATATAGAAATATTTTTTTTTAAAGGATCCGGGTATGGATCAGCTCTGCTTTATGCTAATGTTAATGTATGACATAGGGTCATCTGAATGTAGTCTATATCAAAATAATTATACACAATATACAATGTACGCACAACCCGAGTGACGTCATTTACCACCAGGCAGGAAAATTGTCGCAATCGGTGTATTCGAAGAAGAAGGTCAGCGAATCGAAGAAGGAATCATCCGTCCATTTGTTTGGAGAAGTGAGTCTATAGTCTCTCGATGGCGCGTGCCGCAGGTTTCCTGCTTTTAGTCTAATGGTTTAACCTCGGTGTAAGATATAGCATCACCTCCCCACTGTACTGATAGCGGAAACCCTACTCTTTATTTGTATGTGGGCTTTATGGTGAGATTAATGTCTCAGGGATAAACTCCTCTCAGCGGGCGTTAGCGTTGTCTCGAAATGAGGACATTTTGAGGATCGTTTCCATTAATAGCACTACCAATATTATCGCGTTACGACCACAGCACCGGACCGAGCGCCGTACGACGGAAAGCAAGTGTATTGGTACAAGCTGGTGGTGAATAAACAAGTGTACATTGGCATGTGTTTGCTCGCCGTCTGCGGCGTAATCCTGACGCTAGGATTTCTTATCTTCAATGTCACATGCAGGGCTTGTCCGTGAGTACAGACGTTTGTTTAATATCAATAATAATAATAATAATAATAATAATAATAATATTGATAATAATAGTAATAATAATAGCAACAGCAACAATAACAACATAAATGAAAATAATGATATATATACAATAACAATTTAACAACAGAAATAATAAAAACAATGACAAAGACAATAGTAACAAAAAACATATATATATCAATAAAACATCATTATTCTTATTCTTATTATTCCTCTTTTCCCTCAAATATAGTAACAGATTTTCTTGAAATTTATATTTAGTTACATCTGATAATATATATATCTAATTATATATTGATACACGTACATAATTAAAGCACTGATGACAAACATTTTTCTACTTTTCTATAAACGTCACGATGCGTTTTCGTTCGGCTGTGGTTACAATCAGGCCAAAAAGTATGTGAGATTGGCGTTTAGTATAGTTGACGTAAACCTCGCGATGACGTCATCAAAAAGAACGTGACTATCGTCTGTTCTCGTTGCAGTATTGTTAAGATGTCCTCGCCGACGATAAATAACCTCATTCTAATGGGCTGCGTCCTCAACTATAGCGTCGTTTTCTTTGCGCACACGTCGACCCGCTCGGAGCCAGAACAGATTCTTGCCTTCTGTATGGTATGCGCGTGGCAATATACATCTTATATATCATTATAATCTATAATTATCTTCATACCTGTATTGACGCATGCAGTCGCAGCTGTAGTATACAGGACATATCGTGTTGCGCGTGTATAATTATTTCACCGCGCGCGCTATCTCCCACTATATCGTACTTGTTCGTATCTTTTCGCACGCCGAAAGCGTTGAAAAAATGACAATATATGGCATCGCTACAGCGCGGTGAAAATATATGCGTGCGAAAAGATACGAATCGGGTGATCTCCCTATACTCGTGACTGCACGACGCCTATCCGTTTCCGTAGTTGTCGTCCTACTATAGTGTGCGTGGGTAGATGTTAGCAGAAGCTAATAATGACAAATTTTGGTCAATATAATGACATTTGTCATTATTAGCTCTTGATGTTAGCCATTATGTGCATGCAGAGACGGCCCCGTAAGCCACGTAGGATCAAAACAGATGATATTGCGCTGATGCGAGCGAGTCAATTTGCCAAGGCTCGAGTGCTTATCAAACTATAAACTATGCTTGCTTAATTAGTTATAACTAATATCTAGCTGGCACTGGGGAACCAAACCCCAGATGAAGCACGCACGGCATTATCCCACTGTCACAGAGTAGCGTGAGTAACAGTACAGGTGTGTGTAGTCACAGAGTAGCGTGAGTAACAGTACAGGTGTGTAGTCACAGAGTAGCGTGAGTAACAGTACAGGTGTGTGTAGTCACAGAGTAGCGTGAGTAACAGTACAGGTGTGTAGTCACAGAGTAGCGTGAGTAACAGTACAGGTAGTCACCGAGTAGCGTGAGTAACAGTACAGGTAGTCACCGAGTAGCGTGAGTAACACAGTACAGGTAGTCACCGAGTAGCGTGAGTAACAATACAGGTAGTCACAGAGTAGCGTGAGTAATAGTACAGGTAGTCACCGAGTAGCGTGAGTAATAGTACAGGTAGTCACCGAGTAGCGTGAGTAATAGTACAGGTAGTCACCGAGTAGCGTGAGTAACAGTACAGGTAGTCACCGAGTAGCGTGAGTAACAGTACAGGTAGTCACAGAGTAGCGTGAGTAACAGTACAGGTAGTCACCGAGTAGCGAGCGTGAGTAACAGCACAGGTGTGTGTAGTCACAGAGTAGCGTGAGTAACAGTACAGGTGTGTAGTCACAGAGTAGCGTGAGTAACAGTACAGGTGTGTGTAGTCACAGAGTAGCGTGAGCAACAGTACAGGTAGTCACCGAGTAGCGTGAGTAACAGTACAGGTAGTCCCAGAGTAGCGTGAGCAACAGTACAGGTAGTCACCGAGTAGCGTGAGTAACAGTACAGGTAGTCACCGAGTAGCGTGAGTAACAGTACAGGTAGTCACAGAGTAGCGTGAGTAACAGTACAGGTAGTCACCGAGTAGCGTGAGTAACAGTACAGGTAGTCACAGAGTAGCGTGAATAACAGTACAGGTAGTCACAGAGTAGCGTGAGTAACAACAGTACAGGTAGTCACCGAGTAGCGAGCGTGAGTAACAGCACAGGTAGTCACCGAGTAGCGAGCGTGAGTAACAGCACAGGTGTGTATGATTGCTGTCGCGTGAAGATATAGGGCCACTGCGACTCGGGGTGTGAATAATTATGACGCGGTATAGTGGCGATGGTGAACGGCACAGTGAGATCAAGCAAGCGTAGAGATATGATGAAAGTTAACTGGCTCTCGCTTTCTTTGCGGTGGCACCTTTACGCTATCGTGGTGCCGCCGAAATTTAGTTTGCGGTGAAAATAATTTGTCTGTTTTTCTATACGGGAGTAACAGGACCTACTGCTTAATCGAAATATCAGTATATACTATACATGAATCTTTTAGTAAAATAACCTTTCCGGTTTCAGACAATTTTACTCCTGATCATATAGCATAAATATATATATATATATTATATATATATATATATTATATATATATATATATAGCAATATAACGCTTATATATATATAAGTCTTATATATATCATAGATACACACCGTTTGAAAATAGCGTTGTCGCCGTGAGGCCCCGAGTGACACGTGATGGTTTCATGGTCGACGCCGCGTGTGGCGCTGCGATCGCGCTGTCAGCGGGTATCACAAATGCCACGCGAACAGTTTCCATTCATCAACGGCTATTATGCGCACCTGTCCAATCATTCAGTTCGTATCTATAATTATACGTATTATGCTTCCGGAGCGACCACATAGTCAATTGCTATTTGATTTTCGTCTTCCTGTCAGGGAACGGAATGGTTATCATTTCCTCGTGTACTCACGTTCTATAGGCGAATATCGTTGCATTTCTTTGTCGCAGGTGCACAACGTGTTGCTGGCAGCCGGATTTTCCTTGGGCTTTGGCGCGCTCTTCGCTAAAACCTGGCGCGTTCACGTAATATTCACCAGCGTGCAACAGAACCAGCGCAAGGTTTCAGACACATACAAATATTACGATAATATACGATGAGTAAACAAATTATTATCGCAGGTATCTCGGCCAAATTAACATTTATAGCCGACATCATAAAAACATCGATGACCATGTACAGCGTGAATGTATGTCGGCGATATAACTGTTGGTTCACATCACTGTGGCCGATCCTTTAGTGCTCCTAATCATTTATTGACAACAAAATATACGAAATCACGTATATTTCACATAAATAAAGTTTATAATGTGTACAAAAGACAAGTTCATAATAGCGATAAAATATCCAAATTTATAAGTTTATAATTAGTATCCATAACAGTAATAAACTGTAGGTACGAATTATCGTGCAGTTAAATGAAGGTGAGTGCCGCTTCCATTACAGGTGATTAAAGACAGAAAGCTTGTGTTTATGGTGCTGATGCTCGTCGGAGTAAACATAGCAATACTCGTCACATGGGAAATAATAGACCCGAAATATATCGTCCAAAGCCAGATTTCAGAACAGGTAAACCGCTAGCGAGCCATATAGAGAGGCGTCGATAATCTTTCCATTTATCGGGTTGATATGATATTAATTCCTACGCGAACGTCATGTCTGTGTTGTATTGATTTTTAGTAATAATATAGTCCGATCACTTTGTGATGCATGCAGCGGTTCTATACGACCGGAAAACGACAGAATCTAACCGGAATGTAATAATTAAGCATCGGGTTTTTCTACATTCCATGTTTTTACCCTAAAGTCGGACATGATGGATGCTGATATCGTGTACCATGCTTTCACCGACACGTGTACGTCCTCACGAGAAATGTACTTTATCAGCTCCATATACTGCGTGCTGGGACTACTTCTGATCGTTGGCGCGGTTCTAGCCTGGGAGACGAGACAGGTATAGGCAAACAATCGCTCGAACACGCTGTCAGGAGAAGAATGGCAGCCATTTAGTTGATTATACACACAATGAGCATCCCATATTATAAAGAGTCACGCTAAGTTTACTCTATATATACATGCACGCAAACTATACATTTGGGCCTATAGAATGTATACAAACAGCCATCAAAGACAAATAGGACGCGTGTAAACACGGATACAATCGGTGGTTTTACACGAATGCTCCATTTATTCGGCAATATACCGAAAAAACAATAAAATAGACGAATTCTAAATGATAAAACGGACGCTTCACAATGAACACGCAAAACACATGTTTGGGACGTTACCATGGTTACTAATGCAGCTTCACGCGCAGGTCAAGGTCGAGGCACTCAATGATAGTCAGCTTATCGGCATCTGCATCTACAACGCGGTCGTGCTCTCCGTGATGGGAGTTGCTGTGGCGTTCGTGCTCACCGACCAGCCCTCTCTTCGCTACGCCCTCCTAGCTGGCTTCATCATCATTGGAACTACGTTTACCTCTTGCCTGATCTTTGTCCCAAAGGTACGGCGCCGAACACTAACCGATATAATAAACTGTATATATATTATATATATAATATCAAGAGCCCATTAACCCTTAAATTAAATTAATTAAGGGGTTAAGTAGGAGTCTTGTATATATATATATATATATATATATACATACATACATACATACACACACCATAACATACATAACATACATACATACATACATACATACATACATACATACATTACATACATACATACATACATACATACTACATACATAACATACATACATTTAACATAACATTTACTACATACACTTACATACATACACATACATACATACATACATACATACATAACATACATACATACATACATACATACATACATACATACATACATACATAGATACATACATACATACAGACACTACATACATACATACATACATAGCATACCAATACATACATTACATACATACAGTACATACATACATACATAATACATAGCATACATACTACAACATACATACTACATACATTACATACATACATACATACATACATACATACCTAGCATACATACTACATACATACATACATACATACATACATACATGTACATACATACATGTACATACATACATACATACATACATACATACATACATACATATACTACATACATACATACATACTACATACATAACATACATACATACATACATACATACATAATTAACATACATACATACATACATACATACATACATACATAACATACATACATACATACATACATACATACATACATTATACATATACAATCTACATACATACATTACATACATACAATACATACATACATACATACATACATACATACATACATACAGTACATACATACAGCATACATACATACATACATACATACATACATACATACTACATACATACATACATACATACATACATACATACATACTCATACTACGATACATACATACATACATACATACGCATAAGCATACATACATACATACTACATACATACAATACATTAATACATACATACATACATACATACATACATACATACACTACATACATACATACATACATACAACATACATACATACATACATTACATACATACATACATACATACATTAACATACATACATACATACATACATACATTACATAATACAATACATACATAATGACATACATACATTACATACATACATACATACATAACATACATACATCACATTACATACATACATACATACATAATACATACTACATACATACATACATAACATAGTACATACAATACATACATACATACATACATACATACATAGCATACAATACAACTAGCATACATACATACCATACACAATACATACATACATACATAGTACATACATACATTACATACATACATACATACATACATACATACATACATACATATCATACATACATACATAATACATACACATACATACACATACATACATACATACATACCATCTACATACATACATACATACACATAACATACATACATACATACATACATACATACATACATAGCATAACATACATATCATAATACAATACATACCATACATACACATACATATACATACATACATACATACATACATACATACTATAACATACATACATACATACATCATAGCATACCATACATACATACATACATACAACATACATACATATCAACCATACATACATTACAACACACACGCTCACGCGCGACGGGGCGCGCACACACCACACACACACACACACACACATACACACACACACGCACACAACATCACGCACA